CGTGATTTTTAAACACACTGCGTCGTCCAAGGTCGAATAGTCATGGTTGCTTCATTGACTCGTTTACCCTACCAGAAGTCAGGCAGGAAATGCAAGCCCAAAAATTCGGTCCAACGGGTCTGCCCAACCACAGTAGCAGCCCAACGGCAGCCGGCCAACACTATTTTAGGGTACATTTGCCCAAGCTTTTTTTATCACTACCGGTATCTGCTCGAGTACGAGTATTTTCAAGGGCTCCCACAACGGTGGCCAGTGCAATGGGGACCGGTATCTCTTAGTGGGCACGATAGGTGGGTAGGTTAATCTATCCTCTCTCTCTCGCTCTATATATGGTTCCCCAGACCAGGGGAATGCTGTACTAGTACAAGTACGGTAACTTACTCTCCTTTCCGAGCCAAGGATTGGTCTCGTTCGCCTCTTCAATGGGCTTGTACGAGTACTCGTATATACCGGTAATTTACCGGCAGTGCTCGAGTACGGTAGCTACCGTATTCCAAAAGGGGTTTCAATTCTTGGCTCGAAGCCACGAACACTCGAGTACAATAGTACAGTACTCGAGTAGTTGATTTGATCAATGTTCATGTTTCCATATACCTTTCACTCTTCATTGATTCGCGACCTGACTAGGCCGGCGTCGGATGGGCGGGTTTGAAGGACTACTCATGTGAGCCTTGAGGACACCTATCGGGCAGGCAGAGACGATATTGACGCGATAACATGCCAACTGATTGTCTTGTCCCTCGCGTACCGACACTAGATAAGTTATCATGGTGGAATGCGCAGACCATGCGGAGCTTATGGCATGGTGCGAAGATAATCTCCTCTAATACGGTACTCAATAAGTCTACTTTACAACATCATTACCGTATGGGATGTGAGGCGGTGTAGGGTACTAAATTGGCAAGTAATAATGATTTGGTATAACATTACCGGAGTGGTATCGTACGGGAAAGTAGCGGTAATGGGTGCGGCACCGGTACTTGCGGGCACTCGGTCAAATTACAGTGAGTGAAGGAAGCTTGTCGTTTCGAGATTCTTCGTCCTCTTGTTCGGGCCGGCGTCATTCCCTAGGAAGGGGTTCAGCCAGAAGGCTTATGCCGAAGCTGCGGTAGTGGCCATGCACGGCACCGTACCTGACCGCAGGAGCAAAAATATGAGGAGCCGTACCCGAGAAGTGTCTCCCACGATCTTGCACACACAAAAGTCCTGGACGATCAAACCCATTACCGGAACTGTAAAGTACTCTTACTATTCTTGTAAGGTACGGTGTGCCGGTACTATAAGTGATATTCTCTCTGGTGGGAAGATTTTGCCTGCCCGTACCCTACAGCCACCTGCAGCCAGAACTGAAGGCGTGTGTATGCTATCATATTATCTATCATACAAGTACAATGTCATGTACTGTACCGGTACTCGTACAGTTACTTTACTCGTGCACCGGTGCTATTGTTATCCACAGGCACAGGCGCTTGTTGCTTTGCCAGGCTTGCGGTTTGTGGGCTACTTGGCGTTAATCCTGGACCAAGGACTACTACTCCTTGGGACCAGAATCTTCACTCAACTGAGACTCATGAAGAAAAAACTCCCCCCCACCCGCGCTATCCTCGCGTAACCGTTTGTACAGTACCTTTCTTTGGAGCACCTGAAATTGGATCAGATCGTAACCTCTCCTTTCGACCAGTCAGATCAATTTCCCGTGACGAGAAGTTTGGAAAGACAACGATCCAGTCTGCGAGTCAACACACTTGAGTGCCGCCAACAACAAACCCCCAGCCTGGTCGAAAAATACCTTCCCCCAAAATCCCGCCCTTGTCTGGTGTCATACCCGCGTGCTTGACTAAAGTGGGGAAAAAAAAAAAATAGAAGAGGGAGAGAGGGAGCGAGGGAGAGTGAGGAACCACCCACCCAAAAACAAAAAAAACCCCCGGAATAGTAAAAAACACCGGTAAAAGAGGCTCTAACCTCGATAACTTTTTTCATTTTATCACCAGTAACGGTGCCCCCAGCTTGGGCCGTCTCTTCCCCGCGTCGTCTCACATTTGAAAGCTCTCCTTTGTAGCTCTTCTCAAAACACACCCCGCCCCGCCTCCTCCTCTTGTCGCACAGGTGTCAATCATCCGTCTGACATGGATGGGCTGCGGAGTATCTTTCCTGGACATCCACCTCCCTTGCTCGAAAGGGCCCTTAATGGCGCGGGCGGAGACTTGGGGGGAGCCATCGACATTGTTCTCCGTGAACAGCGGGAGCAGGAGCTAAAAGAGCAGGCGCAGAAGCAACACCAGGAAGGACTACAACGAGGAAAGCAACTAAATCATAAACCGCCAGCCCCTCTACCAGCTCAGAAGATACGACAAGATTTCGACCGCCACCTATTATCGCCCTCTACCGCGTCGGCGAATTCCTTTGGCTCGCTGAGGATCTCTGACGATGATGATGATGGCGATGATGGTGATGGCGGTGATTATGATGATGGATTTGTGTTTGGTGGCAGTGATGGGAGCATGGAGATTTCTAGAGATGAGCCCATTAGGACGGAACGGGAGAGGGATGGCAACGGGAAGCAAGTGGAGCGGGTGGAGGAAGAGAAGAAGCCAGTTGCTAGCCAGGAAGACGTCCTTCAGAATGTCCTGAGCATCTTTCCCGATGCATGCCTCACACATATAGCAAAGCTCTATCGTGAATATTATTTACTACAAGGCAGCGATATCACCGAATTCATCGCAAACAAGCTAGCTGAGACAGATTACCCGAAGTCAGAACTCGTTCAGAAGGCCGGCATGAAGAGGAAGCGAGTGGAGGAAGACGAGAAGGGTGAAAAGGGCCCGGATTATGAGGCCAACGATAGACCTCCGGTCGTTGGGGAGCGCTATGAACTTGTGTATGTTATACCTCTACCCCGCCCCATCACGGATGGGTAGCTTGCGCTCTCACGTGACCGTGTTACCTTACTTAACCCGATGCTGGCTGCCTGACCTAGGCCATCTACCGGTGCTCCTTTTTGCTGACCTTGCGGGTTCCAGGAGATCTATTTTGAAGCAGGAATTTCCTCTGATGCCGGTACGGTACATCGAGAAGGTTATGACGCAGAACCGGAACTATCTAGCTAAATCCTACTCCGCCCTTGTTAAGGCAGATAGATCTCACAATCCACAAACGAACGCTCCCTATAAACAGCTCGTGCATCCGCGAAGAACGGAAGGCCAAAGCCACGAACTTAAGAAGGGTAAGGACTGGACAGAGATCAGTGCCGAGCTAGAATACGCCCGCGGCGAAGTGAGAAGAGAAGAAAGTGAGTTCGGGTTGAGATATGTGTTTGCTCTATTTTTGTCTATAGCTAATCGAGAAAAACAGTGCAAGCCCAGATGGACGCCGATGCTAGGCTTGCGGCCCAGATAAATGAAAAGGAACACCAGGAGAGCAACATGCTGATGGAGTGCGGGTGTTGCTTTGGTGAATATCCATTCGATAGCATGACCCATTGTAATGACCTGCACCTCTTCTGTCTTGACTGTGCCAGACGTAATGCGGAAACGGAGGTGGGAAATGGCCGCCATAAGCTATCCTGTATGGATGGGTCTGGCTGCAAGGCGCTTTTCCCTCGGAGCCAAATGCTGCGTTTCCTTGATGGTAAGACGCTGTCAGCTTTGGCAAAGATAGAACAAGAGGATGCTCTGCGGATTGCCGAGATTGACGGGCTCGTCAAGTGCCCGTTTTGCGATTACGGAGCTATATGTGCGCCTCCCGAAGTGGATAAGGAATTCAAATGCCAAAACCCCGACTGTAAGGATCCTATTGTTTATACTGCCTTCTCGTAGATGCGCGCTGATATGGGTTACAGGTATGGAAATTAGTTGCCGGCTCTGCAACCAGAAATCACATATCCCTTTGACATGCAAGGAATATGCTAAGGATAATAAACTTGATGTTCGGCACAGAGTTGAAGAAGCCATGACAGAAGCGCTAGTAAGGAAGTGCAAGTAAGTTTCGGGAACCCAGAATAATGAATTATTGCTAACGAAATACAGCAAATGTTCTTATCCGTATATTAAGGAATACGGATGCAATAAGATTCATTGCAACCGTTGCAATACACTTCAGTGGTGAGTCAATTAGCTTTGGCTGATATGGGCGAGGCTGATCTCCCATGTAGCTATATCTGCTCCCAAACAATAAAGAACTACGACCATTTCAACGACCCAGCAAGAGGGGGGAAGATCGGCAATTGCCCACTTTTTGATAACACCGAAGAACGGCATCACGACGAAGTTGAAACTGCAGCAAAGAAGGCCATGGAGATGCTTCGAGTAGAGCATCCGGAGCTTGATGATGAGGACCTGAAGATAGAACTTTCAGAAAGGGTGCGAAAGGAAGAGGAGGCCAAACGCTCTCGCGCAGCAGCTGCGAATGGCGGTATTCCCCTGTACCAACCACAACCGGCTCGACAGCCGGTTGCCCCTCCAGTGAGAAGACGAGTTCCCGGGCCACCTCCACCTGCACCACCGCCTGCACCACAGATTGGGGGACCAGCCGCGGGGGCAGGACACCGAGGCCGGCTGCAAAGGGTACGGGATCGCATTCAACAGGTCGTTCAGCCCCAAGCACCACCGCCCGCGCAGCCTCCCCATGTGATAATGGGCCACCAGCTGCCGTTATTCCATCAAGTTGCCCAGAATATGTATCCAATTCCTCTTCCACAATATCCTCCTTATCCTGCGCCAAACCAGTACCCGGGCGCAAAACCGGCTCAACAACCACTCATTGGTGGCCTCCCAGCTGCTCATGGTGCACCAATCGTGAATGAACGTGTACCTCCACCTCCGCCACCTCCGCCCCCACAGCCGTTTCGCCGTGCAGTGCTATCTCGAAGAAATACTGTCGCTGCTGCTAGGCCTATGGGCGCTGAAATACAGGGGATGGGTGTGCCCATACAAGAGCAAAATCTTATGATGGCGATGGGGCGCGCACAAGCACAGGCCCCAGCCCCGCCTGCAGGTCCACCATCTGGGATCTCGGCTCCTCGGAGAAGACGTTAAACTATTGCCACAATACGCTATACGGGCTATCTTCTTGTGCTGACCCGGCGATTCCAGTATCTTTCAATTAGGATATCCAGTTCCTTTTAATACACGCACACACACACCCCGTTACCTATCTATCATCACAGAGCAGAACACTACTCGACTCCTTTTCCCCTCCCCACTCTGTCTCTTACGTTACGGCAGCTTTGCTGGTTTGTGGTTATTTATAGCTTTAGCATCACGTCCTTTTCTGTATCCCTCTCATTTCTTTTTCAGGCGTATTTCTCACTTTTCTGATTTTCTCACTTTTTCCCCATATGAGTCTGGCGTCCGGATTGGTGACTTTTGTTGGCCCTCTACTTTATCTTTTAACTTTTACACTCTATAGTTGGAGCATTTCTTGCTTTAGATGCTTGGATTAGGTGGGGAAATGGAGCACTAGGCAAGGGGAGGAGGTATCTCATACACAGGGTTGATCGTTGTATATTACTTAGTATGGCACCAATGCCCTCTAACGAGTGGGCGATGAGCTGAATGTTGTATGACGCGTCGAGTGAGGAGACTTCTTCTAAATGGCTTTGTGGTGGTGCCCTGTAGCTCCGCGCAGGATGTGCTTAAATTATCGTGCAGCAGTCTACTGCGTGAATGTCGTTGCTGTAGCACTTGTCGAGTTTACTTTCACTTAGGTTATGATACTGCGCCGTAGCTATCACTGTTACGGTATCAAATAATGTCTCCCTGTGCTGGCTCGAAAAAAAGAAAAAAAACCTTGCTCTCTCTCTCTCCCCCTCGCACCCTCATTCTACGGGTGGTTGTTTTGTTAGACTACGTGCTTATCACTTAGCTCTTGTCCTTTTTCCCCAACGAAAAACCCATATATTGCCGAATGGCAGCGTTCTTACACTGTCACGGTAAACTTGCCATGTGGATACCACGGTACTCAATCGTGTCGTCGTTATCTCGCCTCAACCGACTGACTCGTTCGGGTCCATCACCACCATCGCCACCACCACCACACATCGTCGCCGACACTTAGGGCGATCAAATATACGTAAAAAATCAAAATATACCGTATATCTGCCCTTGCTTTTTATACCATACGATACATACCATACATACGAGCCCTAAATTTCGAAACCCTGAATTTTATACCCTACTGTATAAGTCTCCTTTTGGTCGCACATATCATAGAATTATACTGTATTATACAAACTTGTATAATACCGGTACGAATCTCACGCGCTACCAGTGACACCATATTGCTTGTGCTTGTGCTTGTGCTTGGGTGTTGTTGTCAAGGGTAAGTTCTGTCGAAGCCCCTCTCTGGCTGGTCTGGCCCAGTCGGTCCCCCCCTCCTCTCTTCGAAATTATGATACTTGTGTTTTTTTTTTTTCACAGCCCATCATATTATTATCATACTTGACCGACACATTTATACTATGCTCTCCCCATCCAGCCAGGTTTTTCATCATAATTATCATACTCGGCAGATAATTTTTTTTTATTCTTGCTGACAACCCAAGTATTACTTGTAGCCCTAAAATAACAAATAACGAAAAAAAAAAAAAAAATTTAGAAATCACTTTTCTGAGTAACGGTAACAGTAAGCTGTACAGTACTCGTACAGCACACGAGTTAATGTCTCAGACGTCCCAAGCCACCACCTCCGCTTATCCCGCCTTATTTCTTACCTTGTCCGTCCCGAGCCTTACCGTTTTGTGTGATACCCAAATCCAATCCAATCCAATCACATCACGTGTATGATAATGATTGATTGATTGATTGTTGTCCCACGCGAGAACAAAGAATCAACAACGCGCTGTTCTTATCGAATCACGTGACATGTCCATTACATTTCTGCTTAAGGATTAGGCTAGCGACTTAACCTTACTGAAGGCTAACTAATTTCCTGTGTGATGTGCGGTACCCGTTATACCCCGCTAAAGTGGGGTTACGTGCGTGCTGAAATTAACGGTACGCTTGCGTAAGTGGGTTGCGGATGTTGTTCGTGTGTTTTGCAGGAACGCTAGTCTATCTATCTTTCTTCCCTTTCCCTTTCCCACTTCCTTTTTTTTTTTTTTTTTTTTTTTGCCTTCAGTCCCGCCCGCCCCGCGTCGAAGCTCCGTTCTGTCCGTATCGAGCTTTGTTTTCCCCTCTGTATGTCCTGTGCTGAATTCAAGTGAATTGAATTGAATTACTCATTTACCGTACTGGGCATAGAAGCATTTTCGTCTCGGGGGCATAGAATACGGTACTTTCCCGTCTCGGGCAGGAACGGTAATTTAAAAACATTTTCCCTCTTCAGGTAATTGTTTGATGGTGTTTTTGTTTAACTGTACCTTTGTTCTTTGAGGGAAAGGGAAGGGCGCATGCTGATGACCTAAATGGAGAAGAAACAAAGGTAAATTATCATACCATTTAGCAATGCCTCCTCAGCGCACCCCCAAAGGGAAAAATTCCAAGTCCGACCCTCCTCCTGGACAGACTCTCCTCCCTTTCCAACCAGCCCCAAAGCCCTCCCATTCTAAGCCCCAGCCTACCCTTGCGGAAAAAGGCCTTCCCAGTACCCCTTCCCCCCCCCCCTCTTTCTCTGGGAATTATAGTTACTGTTGACGACTATCTGGTGCGTGCAAATGATTAGGAGAGAGATTGAAAAAAACCATCCCGGCTCCTAAATCATCGGGCGGGACCATCCTTTACTTGTATGATACGGCG